CCCCAGCCCGCAGCCCCCAGTCCTGCACCCCACATCGCCCAGTCCTGCACCCCTTCCCACACCCCCATGTCCTCGTCTTGCACCCCACGTCCCCCAGCCCCACTCTGGCATTCCCCAGCCCTGCACCCCGTATCTCCTGGTCCCGGACCCCCAGTCCCACGCACCCCTGGTCCGGGACCCCATATCCTGCACCCCACATCCCACACCCTTGCTGGAGCAGGAGAAGGAGGCAGCATCCCCTTCCCAGGCACGGGGGAGCTCTGCGCCCCGCAGCAGCAGTTGTCTGCACCCCACAAACACACCACGGGAGCCTGACTCCTCCCGGGGGGGCTCAGCCCAGGCGGGGGCAAGTAGGGGCCCCCCACCCCGGGATGCCGTGGGAGCGTGGGGCCAGTGCTGCCCTGCACCCAGAGGTGGGTCACGGGCCTCCAGGAGCTGGGCGAGCACCCTGGGGAGGGTGGGTGAGCACCCCAGAAGTGCAGTGAGTACCCCAGAAATGTGGGTGAGCACCCCAGGAGGTGGTTGAGTCCTCAGGAGTGGGGTGAGCACCCCAGAAGGGTGGGTGAGCATCCCAGGAGGTGGTTGAGCACCCCAGAAGGTGGGTGAGCACCCTGGGGAGGGCAGGTGAGCACCCTAGGTGGTAGGTGGGCACCCCAGGAGGCGTGTGAGCACCTCAGGAGGGTGGGCGAGCACCCTAGGAGGTAGGTGAGTACCCCAGGGTGGCCAGAGGGTGCCCAGACAGCAGAGCAGGGCAGAAGCAACCGGCAGCCCCGGCTGGGCCACGGGGCCGCGTGTGCACACGTGTCGCACGCGTGTGCACGCGTGTGCGCCGAGGGCTGTGAGTGACACCTGCCGTCAGGGCTCCGCCACTTCAGCAGGGTGGGTGTCACCCAGCTCCACACCCAGGCACCCCCGGGCACCCCAGGGTGGGGGGCACAGCACAGGACATGCCCACGACGCTCCCGGGATTGCCACCAACCCCCCCTCATCCCCCTCCACCCTCCCAGCTGCCCACCCTGGGGAGCCGGGGGGGGGTCGGGTCAGGGTGGTGCATCACCCCCCCGAGGTTGGGGGTGTGGGTGCCCCCATCCCGGGGAGGGAAATGGGGTCCACCCACCCGCTCGCCACTAGATAGAGCTCCGAGTTCATCCTTGCTTTGCCTGTGTGAGTGGGGGGGCCTCCTGCTTTGGTGTCCCTTGTCCCCTGGCAGTGTCCCCCCCACCCCCAAGAACAAGGGGGCTGTGGGGGGTCCCCTTGGGCTCCCAATTCCTCATCCCGTGCAGCGTTCCCGGCTCTTATTGCCCCGGACTAACACAGCCCCGTCATCCTACTTAAATATTCTCATCATTAACATGATTTTTGAAGCGTTCAGTGTCACCGTGGGCATTTACTGCCCCGGGGACACGCTGGGTGCACACAAGCATCCGGGCTCCCTCCCCTGCTCACTAACCCCCCCCAAAATCTTCTTTCCCTTTGGTTTTCAGGGACCTCCCACGTTCAGGGCCTGGCCCGGCGCAGCAGATCGTGGGGAAATCTCCTTCACGTCTTATCTCGGGCCGTTATTTTCCTCCCCCGACAGCAGAACGTCTCGGGATGTGTTTTGCTCCTCAGCCCGGGGTTGCAAAACCTACATCCAGTAAAACCTTTCCCCTTCAAGCAAATAAATAAACCCCTGAAAACCCATCTCGTTCTGCTTCCCCACGCCGCCCCCAGCCCACACGGCGCAGCCCGGGGATGGGAACGTGGCGGGGAGGGGGGCAACGGCCTAATTCATCTCCAACCTCCAGCTGGTCTCCCGAGAAAACAAACAGATCCCCCGCGAAAAACAAGCCGGGCTTTGAAATACTTTCTGTTTCCACCCCTCTGTTTTCACGGGCGCTGGGAAGGATGTTTGAGGGCTGAGTCCCCGGATGATGTAAATCCGTTCTGTCAGGATCTGAGCGCTGGTTTTCCACCCTAATATCACCCCTTCCATTCCCACAGGGTGCCCCGGGGGCCCAGAGCTCTCGCTGGAGGGTTTTTTCCCCCCACTTCTCCCCCAGCCTGGGTTTCCCACACTGGTGTTTGCTCCCAGGACCCATCTCTCCAGCTTTTCCAAGCCCCACAGGCCCGTCCATGATCTCCTGCCCCGTGAGCTCCTCGCACCTTCCCAGGCTGACCGTGGGGTGCCCGTGGCCTGTACCCCACCGCAGGCAGCTGCCTGCTCCGGCAGGGCCAGCCCCACAGAGCCCAGGAGCCTCTTCCCTGGCTCCAAGGCAGCTCTTTCTGACGTGTTGGACATATGATGTTTTCTTGAGCCCTGGAATAAATAAGCCCCCGAACGCACCCTCCCACGCAGGCGGCTCAGCTGCACCGTCCGGCGCTGCACCGGCGAAGGCGCGGGAGAGGTAAGGGGGTTTCCTCCATCCCCACGCGATGCCGCAGGTTTTTCTCCTCCCGTTGGTTCTTTCATCCCTCAATTTGCTGATTCCCAAAGGGATCTGGGCTCCGGCCGCCTTCCCCCCCTTTCTTGCTGGGGCTGGGGTTGTGTCCCGCTCATCGGCCAAGCCGGGCAGGACGGGCAGGGAGAGCTGCTGGTGCTGACCCCCACGCATCGCTCCCCACCTCCAGGAGCGGCGAGGGGATGGAGGTCATGGAGGGGTGGGGGTGGGATGGCTCCCCAAACCCCTCGCACAAGCTGCATCTCCGCTGCACTGCCCCAGCGGCCGAGCTTTGGGGGGCAGTGGGCTGTACCGGCGTCCTTGCAGCACTGGGGGGAAAATTCCATCCCCAAACCCTGCCAGGAGCCTTTCAGCATCTTCAGGACCCCCGTGTCCTGCCCCGTGTTGCCCCCACGCTCTCCCCAGCTCACCAGGAGCGAGCGCTCGCAGCCCCGGGGAGCAAAAGGCGGCCAAGGAGGGGGCAGGATGAGGCCAGCGCTGGCTCAGCTCGGCCGGCCGCAGTGGCCCCGGGCTGGGCTGGGCTCCATGGACGACCCGTCAGCGGTGATGGATGGAGAGACGGAGACAGCGCTGGGCTCGCTGCCTCCCCGGGGCAGGTGGCCTGCTCTGGCCACTGCCCGTTGCTGCCTGGCCACAGCCCTGCCTTCACGCCTCGCAGCTGCCGAACACTGGGGAGAGGTGGGGGGAAAAACCCTCCAGCGAGAGCTCTGGGCCCCCGGGGCACCCTGTGGGAATGGAAGGGGTGATATTAGGGTGGAAAACCAGCGCTCAGATCCTGACAGAACGGATTTACATCATCCGGGGACTCAGCCCTCAAACATCCTTCCCAGCGCCCGCAAAACAGAGGGGTGGAAACAGAAAATATTTCAAAGCCCGGCTTGTTTATCATGGGGGATCTGTTTGTTTTCTCGGGAGACCAGCTGGAGGTTGGAGATGAATTAGGCCGTTGCCCCCCACCCCACGTTCTCATCCCACCGGTGACGGGGGCATCCCGCCGAGCCGAGCCGTGCCGGGGCCATGGGGCCGTGCGGGATTTGCTTCCCCGTGGCTCTGCTCGTCCTCGCAGCTGCAGGGACCCGGAGCCGGGAGGCGGGTGAGTGAGGACGTGTCGCACCGTGGGACACACGTGGCCCCGTGGGGGGAGGCCACGCTCCCGGCCCACGCCACCGGGATCTCACTGTCTCGGCGCTTTGCCCCGCAGGTCCGTGTGCCCTCCACGTGCTGGTGGCCCTGGATGTCACCGACTACCCGCAGTCCAACCTGCAGCCCTACCTGGAGCGGGTCCTGCGGGACGTGGCCGCGCTGGACCACCTCACCTGCAGCCCGCTGGGCCTGAGCATCACCCTGCAGAGCACGCAGCAGGACGGGGACACCATCTTCCAGGAGCAGCTGCGGGAGCCCTGGGGGGACGTTCTGCAGCACCTGGCACGGGCACACACCTTCCAACGCTCCTACCTCAACCAGCCCGCCCTGCAGACCTTCCTCGGCACCCTGGCGAGGCAGGCGGCCGATGCCAAGGTATAGTGTTGGCACAGGTATGGCTGTGAGGCTGGGGGATGAGCACCCCAGGAGGGCAGGTGAGCACCCCAGGAACAGGATGAGCACCCCAGGAGGGCAGGCAAGCACCCTAGGAGGTGGGTGAGCACCCCAGAGAGAGCAGATGAGACCCCAGGAGTGGAGTGAACAACCTTGGGAGGGTGGGTGAGTGCCCCAGAGGCAGGGTGAGCAGGCTGCAGTTTACCAGCCCCCCCATCCTCGTCCAGGTGCTTCTGGTGCTCACGGATGGGCTGGATGATGATGTGAGGAAGATGAAGGATGTGGCAACGGCGGCTTGGCTGCAAGGTGGGGCGGCAACGGCTGCATGGGGCTTGAAGGGGTGAGCCCTGCGAGTGGGGGAAGCTGGAGGGGACAGGGGGCCACTCCCAGCCCCCCATCCCCTCCAGACCAGGCCGACCTGCTGGTGATGGTGGCGGTGAACAACGTGACGGGGCTGGGGGACCTGCAGCAGCTGGAGTTGGGGCGGTGGCTGGCCAGCGGGCAGCACCTCGCCGTGGACGCGCCGGAGGCCGGCGGGGTCCTGGCGCAGGAGCTGGTGAGGACGGGGAGCAGTGGGACGGGGCAGTGGGGACCCCGCGGGCTCTGAGCGGGGCTGCTGCCCCCTCCCCACAGCTGGCCCTGGCAGAGCGGACGTGCTGCCAGATGTGTCCCTGCACCTGCGTGGGGCTGCCTGGTCCACGCGGCCCCAGTGGCCCCCGGGGAGGCAAGGTAAGGGGCTGGGGGATGCAGGAGGGATGCGGGAGGGGTGCCCAGCCCTGCAGACAGCTCAGAGCAGGGCTTAGACCTTTTCCTTCCCCATCAGGGGGGATGTTTCCACACTCCCCCTCAGCAGAGAGTGGTCCCATCCTTCCCATCCCTCTCTGCTGGGAGGGGTACGTGGGCTCCTCGTGGCCCTGTCGGGCTCCCAGAGCAAACCCTGAGGCTGGGCTGTGCCCACCTGGATGCTGCTGCCACGGTGCCCAAACACTGAGCAAAGCAGGGGGGAAACTGAGGCACAGGGGGTGGGGGTGGGGATCTTACCCATACTCCCCCAAGGGAATCACAACCCTGTGCTGCATGCCCAGCCCCGGATCCCTTTCCCAGGGTTAGAAGGAGCCCTGGGAGCTCAACTCAGCTCAGCCCTTCCCCTCTGAGCTGGGAAAGGATCCCGGCTGTGCTGGCTCCCAGCCCGGGGTCCATCATGGGGCTGGGGGGGTCACAGTGCCGCTCCCGGGGTCTCTCTGTCTCAGGGGGTGACAGGGAGCAAGGGACGCGCTGGAGACGAGGGCGAGCATGGACACAGTGTGAGTTTGCCGTGGGATCCCCTGGGGGTGGGAAAAGGTGGCCCTGGGGGGGTGAGGAGAACCCCCATCACACCATTGCTCTCCACTCCCAGGGGGAGCAGGGACCGCGAGGGCTCTACGGCAGCCGAGGGATGCAGGGATGCCCAGGACAGTGCGGACCAAAGGTGAGGGCAGCGTGGGTGCCCAGGGGGCCGAGAAGGCCAACGGCATCCTGGCTTGTGTCAGCACTGGTGTGGCCAGCAGGGACAGGGAAGGGATCTGAGCCCTGCGCTCGGCACTGGTGAGGCCGCCCCTCGCTGAGTGGGTTCAGTGTTGGGCCCTCACCCCAAAAAGGCCATTGAATGACTCGAGCGTGGCCAGAGAAGGGCAACGGAGCTGGGGCAGGGTCTGGAGCACAGGTCTGCTGGGGAGCGGCTGGGGGAACTGGGGGGGTTCAGTCTGGAGAAGAGGAGGCTGAGGGGAGACCTCCTGGCCCTCTGCAACTCCCTGCCAGGAGGGGGCAGAGAGGGGGGATGA